AGAATAATAAAATTGTTGATTTGAGATTATTGAATAAGAAATGGAGACATGTGAATTTAATTTTTATTTTTATTTTTATTCAACGCACTAATAACTAAACATACTCTCGAGCGCTAACGTTGTTGTGCAAATTGACAACATGTCCTAAAACTCAAATTGTTCTATTATATAATAAAATTGAGTTAATAAGTGTGAAAAAAGTCAACCAAGATTCCCAATAATTTGAATTTGTGCTCGCTGCATATGGGCGATTCCATCTCTTGATGTATTATATTCTCATAATCACTCAATTCCTTTGGCTAAACTGCATATGAAGCATTAGATTACAACCATAGGGAGGGAATGTAAGGAAGAAATCTTATGAATATAACTACTTTAATTAAAAGTTTAAGCGGTCGAAAGGTGAGAAATATATTTATTTGTATGTTTTATTTTGAACAATCGTATACATTTTTCTATTAGAAATCTATATAATTTTTTTTCATAAATGGTTATCATTTTTAATACCTTATTTAAAAGTTTAAAATCGAGCGGTATATTACTTAAAATAATGAACATTGTTAGTAAAGAGGTGGGTTGGCCTTAAAAAAAAAAAAATAAATAAATAAACCTTTTTTTGGATTTGCTAAGCTGGGATTTCATTGTTGATTGCATAAAATAATTGTGAGAGTACATATTTGTTGAGAAATATAGTTTATCTATGGGAGTTGAAATATAAGTCAACGTTAGAATCTAAAATTGCCATCCTAGGAAGCAGGTTCGTAGAAGGAACATGGGCCTAATGCTAACAAAAAAATATTAGTTGTCTTTTTTTTTTTACCAAAAAATATACTTGCGTATAATGAAATGTAATAAAACATACCAAAATCGAGGCGATACTCAAGATTAATCACATAGATGTACAATTTTTCAAATATTGTTATGATCAGATCCTTGTTAGTGATCAGTGGCAGATTCAGCACCGGACGAGTATCAGCGGCCGTGCGTATTGGATCCGCTGAAACAATTTTTTTTTTTTTTTTGTTGAGAATAGATAAAAATTTTAGGTTATATCTTGATAATTCATTTTATTTCAAAACATTTATTATAACTCAATTGATTAGAGCCTTCATATTCAAATTTGAAGTCCTGTGATCAAATTACTTCTATGTCAATTTATTGTGCAATTTTTCCAGTTTTACAATTTTTACCAAAACAAATGCAATAGGGAGATAATTCAAACGTTTGGCCATCATGACATTCGTTGAATTTTGACACCAAATGTAACAAAACAATATGAAGATTCGAACATGTGTTTTTCCTTTAAATTATACAAAAATTGACCACTATGTCATTTGGTGAATATTGTTGATATATATAATAGATTTATATATGTTTGATTTTAGCAAAATAATTTTTATATTTAATTTTTAATATTTTATTACACCCGACAGTCAATGGCCGCTCGTCCTCATTTAGAATCCTCGATTTGCCACTGTTAATGTCTGATGTGACCATGTGAGATTAATCATTTTTGATAAAAAGCCAAAAATTTGGTCTCTCTCTCTCTCTCTCTCTTACACACATATAATGGTCCGATCTTCTTTATAATTCAAACCTTGTTGAGAGTTTCATTAAAGATGAGAAATTGCTGAAAAGATAAAATCATTTTTATTCCTTCTTAATATATTGAAGATCCTAGTGTGGTTGAGCAACATGTAAGGGAGGCTATATGCATTGATGGAGCAGGTTGGTCCCGAGCTCAGTCGTTAAAAGATATTAAACAATAATTCGATCCAGTAATTGATTGAATAATATGGGTTTGAAGATGGAAAAGTGCGGTAATAATAAAAAGGCCACTCCACCATTCGTACTGAAAGTGGTGGGTGCAAGTAATGTTAGAGAGGAAACACCACCCGTGTATCCAAGGACAATGAAATTTGTTGGGACGCTTTTGTCTATATTTATAAAAACGATGATGAAACTATGAACTTCTTGAATTTATGGTTCGAAAATAAATTTACACGATCTCCCTCCAATAGAGAATTTGAAAATGATCGTGAGTAGGAGAAATATTACACTCGACAAATGATGGTAAGTATGACTAGCGCACGTGAAATGTAGTTTTTTAACTGTTATTGTACTCCTCATCTTCGAACGAGATAAATTTTAGTCGTTAACTAAAAATAATAATTAATATATTAAAGATAATTACGTATTTAAAATGATTCAAGTAACCGTAATGCATTAGCATGGTGATAAAATGTAATGAAAAATCACATGTTCTGAGTTTCAGAGCCCGTTTGGTACACATTAAAATGAGAGAGTGCATTTTTTTGAAGTGATGTGATGGAGAATATGTGATGGAAAAAGAAGGAAAAGTTATTGATGTAATGAAAAATATTATTTTATTGAAGAATATGTGGTTAAAAATGAATAGAAGAATGAGAGTGAAAAAAATAATGTAACCCAAACAGGAGCTCAATAGTAGCTAAAGTCACCAAATGTTGACTTCGTACCTTAACTTTGGGGGGTCTACATAATAAATGGAGACATTAATTCAAAAATTATTGACCGAAGGCGCATAGGTTGAATGTGCTAAGATTCCTCCATATTGTCAATCTGATGTGAGCACAAAATCAATCATTTCATTTGACAGATTTTCGTTTTTACTTTTACTTCTCGTAGAAAAAGTTCACTTTTGAACTCAAATTCAAAATATAGATTCTTGATTTGAAAAACATTTTTTAACATTTCAAAAGTCTTATCGAGTGAGCTCTTATTTTTAAGACATAAATTTCGATAAGTTCTTTTTTAGCTCTAATACTAAATCGCGCAAATAATTCAGAGTCTGTCAAAAAAAAAAATGAAAATTGTGTCCATCAAAAGGCTAGTAATCTTGCTATTGAAGGTAGGTTTTCTCATTTACTCCCTCTGAACTTAGATTTTTCAACGGCACATCTCTAGAAATAAATTCTTTTCATCACATAATAATGCATGAATGTACCAACTACCTCCTGAATGGGGAATTTTGACGTTTCAAGGACACAATCATAATGAGGAAAGTTCCTCTTAAAAAACTGCATTTATTTGCAGTGATGTTTAGGTAAATTAAAGAGAATAGTACCTTTACACTTTGTTAACCTAACAAATTAATGTAGACATTGACATAACATAAGTGAATTTGTTTTATTTACCATCAAATGTCACATTAGATTTATGTTTTTAAGATTTTAGACTCGTTGCTCTGTCTTATTCTATTGGCCCGAATGGATGGCTTGCAAACCCAGGCTACTGAGTCGTGCGCTCTTTCTCCACACCAGATTGGGTCGTCACTAAATTTCTTTTGGGTTCGAATAGTAACCACAAACGATAATAAACATTATGTGTATGTTTAGCTAAACTTGAAAAAGTAAAATTACTTTCAAGGAACTTTTATTTTCAAATATGCTTAAATAAATAACTTTATGACTCTTAAGTCAAAATGGTATTCTTTTAAGGTACAAGCATGTATGCTTATAAGCAAACATTTTATGCTTAATTGTAAATTATTCCTGATAATGGTAATGGGGTGGCAAATAGGGTGCAAAAGCAAGTAAGTGGGAAGGGAACAAAGGCGAATAAAGAAGGAAAAAGGAAATAAAGATTGAAATGATTAGAGGACTTCACATGGGCTTTGGAAAACTTTTCCCTCGTGCCCTCTGCTACAATCATATTTTCCCTAACGCGCTTTTGACCCGGACGATGCAAACTCATCTCTAAACCAAACCCCACATTATTCTTATTATATTGGCTTTTTAGCAAAGGATTTTCCAAAAAGATCACTACGAACTTGTTTGATCTAGATTTTTTCAGAATAATTTTTAAAATGTGCGATTAGAAGGCACAAAATTATTTTATTAAAATTGAATTTAGAAAAAATTAGAATTTAAAGAATCTCGGTCGACAGGGACTAGAAGGCACGATGAGCAATGCAAAAAGAAACTGCACCCACATTTCTAAAGCCATTTCCAACTTGCCCTAGATGCTTTTACTGCACATTTGGATGAGATCATAGATAAGGGGATCGTCAACTTTGCGCATGTCCGCATATATTCTACGTCTAGCCCGATTCACGTCCACACCTACTTAACAACTTTAACTACGCGGCAATTAATGTCTGAAAGAATAATGCTATTTATCATTAGTAGATGTGAACTTGAGGCTAGTACATGCTCGTGTTTATCTGATGAATAGCGTTACTTTTCAAGAAAATCAAAATACACAAGTATTATGCTATCATTAAGTCATTATCATTCAAGAGGATGAGATATACATTTCAGAAATAACCTCAAGGAAGGGAAAGAAAAGGTCCTCATCTCTGTATTAAAATATTCATAAGCAATTCAATATCTGATTGGACAGACCCGTTTACATTGATTTTCTTGACATTGATGACAAGAAACCAATTCAACCATAACACCATTCAGACATGAATTTGGTTTGCAATAACTTATCAAAGATTTTCTCTTCTACATTTGCCTTTCCCACTAAGCTACAGAAATTCCATGGGAAAACTTGAAACAATCAAACAACCATGAGAAAAAAAAATGGCACACAAATTAAATCTAAAGAACTGAAACACTACCATCAAACCCACGACGTAGCGTTACCCCTTCTTAACTGCCGTGTTCGTCTACATTTAGGCAGGAAAGAAGTTAGTAGAATAACAAGAAAAAACAGGTTAATGGTTTTGGCTAATACTAATACTTAAGCTTCACCACCTTCCTCCACCCCTGAGAGTTTAACTAACCATTCCCTTGATCAGTTGCTAGGAAAAAGGAGCTCCAACCATCAGTTGAACTCTGTAATAAGAGTATAATCATTGAGACTCAGCAGGAATCTTTGAATGATTATGCTCTACAATAGTACCAATAAAATTCCCTAATCATCTGAGTTCCTATTTTGTAATTTCTGTTCTGTTAGTCAATAAGAGACTGCCTACCGAGTATGAACAATTGCCATAAGTTGGTCCTACAGGGTTAGACTTCCACCTTCCAAATGACACTATCAATGCTCTCATTGTGAGTTCCTTCCAAAGCTGCAACCTTAGCTCGGGATGCTGCAAGGGCAATTGCTGACTTTCCCCTTTCATCCCGAGGGAGTTCACATGCTTCACTGATGGAACCCGACCTCAAGTCGGCTGGTGGAATAAAACAGTCCATTGATAGGCCAGGAATGTTGAATGCGACCTCTTCAATTGTCCAAGCTTCTTCCATCCTTGTTTTCGTATGGCTCATTGCCATCTCTCCAAACCGGAAAAGTGTAACAACAGACCGACCAGAGTGGGCAATCATGATTCCTTCCACAGGACGGTAATCATCTAAGTAAGAATTGATGGTCGTCTCCCAGTATACTGCATCGCCTCCATTAGATTGGATGCGGGTGAGATGTGAATCCTCCATGTGAACAAGAAGGCCCGTCTTCTGGCTGAAGTAGCCAAACAAAACATGCCTAATTATCTCTGCTGGTCCCTCACTCCTGGATCCCAATGTTTGTGGGTCGGCAGACAGCTTCAGAATGAAGCAGTCATCACCATTGATCTTCTTCTCCCCAATGCATATGGCGTTGGCAAACATGCTAGCAGTGGTTCTTGGATCAAGACCCTGCAAAGTACATTACCCACGTCTACACAACATCAGAAGGCCAGAATAGAAAATTTTGACAAAAATTGGGCTACAAATGATGAGAGCACATCTTCACCTGAAGAGCGCGGCGCAAAGGCCTAACCGGCCCCTTTGCAGTGTGAGCGCCAAGCCAGGGAGTGTGCCTCCAGACGAGTTTGCCATTACAGCCAGCATGAACTTTGCTACCCCCAACTGCAAGCTCCACATACCACATGTCAGGATTCATCTGCCAGAGAACAAACCCACCAGACTCCGCAGCTCTAGCCACATTCCTGTTCTTCACTACCTTCGTTGCAGTTTCAAACTCCGAAGCTACCATCTTCAATTTTCCCATGGCATAAGCATTCTTAATCGAATTCTGGAGCTTTTGCCCTCCTGACGCAGCCGTATACTGTTGCAATATGTACTGGGCGGAAGAATTTTCCTGCAAAATCACAAACTCACATCAGACAATAAAATTGAGCATTTCACTGTCTAATAAACAGAAATCTGATAAAACGCATCCTAATTTTCTATAACCATTACAATTTATTTGCTTAAATGTAACCGCCTTGGTTCGGTTTATGAGCAGTTAATTTATAGATATTCATGCAATTTCAGTCAATTGCAACCAACTCTCTCCAAATCATCACAAGTGTAGCAAAATATACTCTCCCAATAATAATTCAGAATTTGCTTCAACTTTAAACTACTCCAGCATGCTTCACAGAAATATACATACATACATACACACGTATGTATAATTTATGTGCAGGTGAGTGTGCGTGGGGATAGAGAGACGTACAATTGGAGTGTCTTTGATGCTCAGATGAGGCAATGGGTCAGTAGTGCTAACGTGCACCGGGGCGAGGGGGGCACCCAAGACCCCAAGCAATAGCCTCATATCAGAACTCTTGTTGTACCCACTCCCATTGGAACCCGCCGCCCCTCCTGGAACCGAGGGGTTCCGGGTTAACTGCCCGCGAACCCACTGCCCGAGCCCCGACCCGAGCCGCTTCGAATCCCCGATTTCTCCGCCGTCTGGATCCGGACCCTCCATCAACGGCGTTAGCGTCTCCCCCACTGGCCTCAGGCTCCCCGATCTCGCTATCACCGTTTCAACATAATTACTGTTACCTCCACTCTTCTTCCTCCGGAGAAGACTCGTTATCGGAGACACACTCCGACTCGTACTCTTAGCCTGCGACCTCCCCGGCGATAACCCCCTCACAACCTCCTCCTTTAACGCCGAGAAAAAACCTTGCTTTTTCTCCATTTTCCCCCAACAAAACACACACTCGATGCAGTATACAGAAAACCAAAAAAAAACGTGGTTTCCTTATATCTATAAATACTCTCCTAAACTTCAGAGAGTGAAATACGAGAAATAAGCGAAAGTTATCAGCATTTTCCAGAAGCCGCAAAACAAAAGTATTCGTAAATCCCAAATGTGAGTATCAATATAGGAAGGAAATGTGGCGTTTTAGAGAGTGAGAGTTCTGGGCAAAGAGAAAATGTTAATGGGTTATGGGTAGTGTTGGTGTGCTAAACAAGGAGGTTTTCAGTTATTGAAATGTTAAGGGCATGAAGAGCAGTCATAAAAAACGTTGAAAGAAAGTGGCGTTTGTAGAGAGAGAAAGTGCTGAGAGAGCGACAGTGTGAAACTGATGGATCATGGTGGCAATAGAGAAGGGTGTGTGCTGCTACTTTATTGACAGTGAGGGCTAAATTTTAGGTTCAGTCCTCAATGTCTGGTGAATTGTAGATTCAGTCCTCTACGTTTTTGTAAATTGCAGATTCAGTCCTCAATGTTAGGTGGTTGGTAGAATTAATTATTTTTTCTTAGCCTCCTCAACTCAATGTTAGGTGTTGTACTCTCAGTAACTATTGCTTTGTTCAACCTTCATGAATGTTTTGTACATGACTCAATAACACAAAGAACAATATTTATATATATTTGGTTTTCTTACTGCTTATGTCATTCAATTTGCGTTACTTAACATTTCATAAGAGTTTGTTGTTAATTTTGCTCGTTTGGCGAAAAAAAAATGATATTAAGGTAGATATTGATTTCCAAAATCAATCCAATGTCCTATCCAATTAATAGTTTGCAATTAAAACAAATTGTGTTGATTTTGATACATCGTTTCTTTTAACTTATAGTATTACGCTATTTGACTCAATTTACCTAACATGTGATAAGATTTTTGTGTGGATTCTACTTGATTATAGAAGAGAATACAAGATATTGAGATTGATAAGTTGATTTTAGTTCGAAATCAAAATATCCCATCAAATTAATCGTTTTGTAATTGAAACATATTATGTTAATTTTACTAACCCATGTCTTTTAACTTATTATGTCTCTAAACCTAGTAATTTTTTTTAGTTTTACGAAAAATTGAACAAGAAAATTAAATATGTAGGAAGTAGAAAACTTGACCATCCTACTATTGAAATTTAACAGTATAAACAAATAATTAGATAGAACAAATAAATCGCCAATTCTCAAAAACGAAAAAAATTAAGATTTTAAGACCATTGGTTTTGGTCCATGCAGCTTAGATTTTGATTGTTAAAAATCGCTAAAAATCCAATTGAATCATTCACCCAGTTCAATATAAAAAGTTTTTTTTTACCAAATATTAATTATTAGTTCCCTTATATACTTCAAAATTAGTAACTTATTTGCTAGAGGGTTCTTATGGCTTTCTAGGAAAATAAAAATTTATGATATATTTCAAAAAGAATGGATTTACAAGTTCAAATTTTATTGTTGAGCCTAATGTTGATTTATTTACTAGACAAATATATTTATATTGTAGAATAACGTAATATATGCAAACTGAGGGTGATTGTGATATGACATATTTTATGACGTAAAATGATAAGGCTCAAATAAGAACATTGATTATCCCCAATTCTCCACGTACTGATAGCAATACTATACGTTGTAAACATTTATATTTTAAATATTTTTATTTAATTTTTTATATTGAGATTTCACAACAATATATTTATTCTTCACTTGTTTGTAAGATATTATTTTTACGTGGCTAATATTGTGGTTTGGAATCGAATAGCAAAAAAGGTTTGTTTTGATATTTTCTCATTTGTTTAAAATTGTTTGGTTTAAAAATAATTCAAAAACCGTGTGTGCACCTAAGTGCATTTCAGAAAAGGTGAGATGAATTTGAGACAAAACACAAATATTGGGGCCTGCAAATGCAATTTTCTCACACTGAGAGGCGTGTTTCGTGCGAATGTGAGAGAGGGAGAGACCTAGCTGCTCAACAGCACGCAGAAAAGGAGACCCTACCATGGGTCCCACCTCCACGTGTTTTATTTGGGTCCATCTGGTATTAAAAGTAAAATAAAAGATGATTATTCACAATACAATTTTTTATAAATACACTAATTATATTTTTTTTATTTCACTTCATCTTTTGTTTAATATATTTTTTTATATATCAATGACAATTAATTCAAATATCATTTAAATAATTTAAGAAATAAAATATTGAAATATGTAGAGTTTATTCCGTTTAACACCCATTAAAATTAAAATTTATTTTTCTCTCTTCTTATTAATAACACATTTTTCAATAAAATAATATTACACGAAACTAATTTTTTTTTTCATTTTGAGTAACATATTCCCTTTTCACGTTTAAGGCATGTTTTAAGAAAATCTGTGAAATGCTTAAAATATCCTTCTCTTTATCAACTCAGTTCCATTTAAATATTTTTTTGTTACACTCACAAAAAAAATAAAATGAATCGAAAATTGCAAGGGATATTTTAGACATTTTAGAAAAAAAATTCTTTTAAATGCCTAAAAATAGTGAAGAAACAATGATACTCAACTTGTCTTAGGTTTGTAAGAAGATTTGGTATGGACAATTGACATAATTACGATGGACATATGGTTCAAAATATAGTTGTTGGACCATATGTCGAGCCCTAATGTCCTGATTAGAGAGGAATTGATATTTTTGGCCACGTTAAAATGATGATAGCATATGTTGATTGATCTTTTTCTGATGAAAAATGATGTAGGCAGAAGCACAAAATAAGATATGAACATGTGAATGAAACTCGATGATTCCAAAGAAATGTCAAGAGTCGACTTATCAATACTCGTTGATTCAATCGGATAGCAAAAACTCATTTCAAATCACGATCTAATTGATTCTACGCACATATAATGCGTTGATATTGAGCTAAGTGCAATAAATTTCACGTATATCAAGATCAAGAGTTTGGGATTGGTACTACCACCACACAAAAAATAAATCAATTTGCAAGACAAATGTTCGTTTAGTTCATCGATAGTTGTTATTCTTTGATCCTTATGATCAAATGCTTCTAAATTGTAAATCAATTTCTTTAATAAAAAAATTTACCATTATTTCGTATATATTCTTTAAAACTCATTTTTTCTCAAAATTATTTTCAATAATATTTTCTCTTAATAAAATAATTTTGCTCATAGAATCATAACTTTTCCTATTTTTCAATCGTACATTCTAAAAAAAAAAGTTTATTTTCCCAAAATATGTTCTAAAAAAATTATATCAAATAGGTTATCAAAAAGTATGGGAGTTGTTCACCCCTTTTTTGTAATGATTACATGGACGACATATGTCGAATTTACTCGCACATTTGCAAACAAATTCTTGCACATTTTGACTTGATATTTTGATGGGACATGATAGCATTTACGGACGTGGGAGATGTTTTATGACGTGAGATAATAATGTTCAAGTGCGGACAATATGATCAAAGATAATCACATATAAACAAACAATTATAAATAACTCAACTAAAGTAGAAATAATCTAAATTCAATCAATAAATATTGAGTAAGCAAGAGAGAGGATTGAGTGTAGTTTCAAGTGTTAAATGTCTCATTATCCTTCAAATGATGTAAGTTTTGAGCTTTTATAAGGTCTTGACTGAATTGGTAGTCGTGTGATTGCAACCACGTAGCTTTATCTATCAAGTCGAAGTCTCACATCACTAAAACGTTACATTAATCATTCTTAAAGATTGACTACGGGTCCTCTACTGGAGAAAAGGGCTTCAGCATCGGAAAACTTCATACTGGAGGTCTTCGGTAAGAGGAACTTCGACTTCTTCTTTGAGGACTTTGGCCAAGAAACAAGAAGGAAGTGGGGTGCTTTGCTCTTCAACCTCTTTATTTTGACCAAATGGGTCTTCATTGACTTGGCCAGATTCGACTTACATCTTCACGTGTACTATGACAGTCTCTTGATTAGAGCATTGGTGACGAGGCACAACATGAGTTAAATTTTTGGATAAAAAGTTACAATTTTGCAGGTGGATTAATTAGTCATGCAATAATTAAATTATATTATAATGCGTAACATAGTTTTACATTTTTTATGAACCTATCAGGCTTCTTCTTTTTTATTTAGAATTTCAGACAGATTTTGAGAAAAAGTACGCATTTGTTAAAATAAATTAGTCACACTCATCATCAATCTTTCTTCCTATTTTCTTATGTACGTATATTCAATAACCGACCAAAATTATTTTTATAATATAATTTTCACTGCATTTTTGGACATTAATATTTAAAAAATGTCTAGATTGCATAATTTAGATACTTTTCAATAACAATGCGTCAAAAGTGCATATAAGATTTTACCAAAAGCAACCAACTTTATCTTCATTTCAATGGAAAAAATTCCGGATGCTTCCTACACTCTAAAGTCCGGATACGAGAGTACTCGATTTGACATAGGCTACTATTTAGACACTTTCAACACTTGCACACTTACCGCTTGACAGTGTATCGTTTATCGTGGATACGATAACTGATACATCAAAATAATAACTAATGGTCTAATACGTCAGAAGTGTATCCTCTATTATTTAGTATATATTTTTTATTACAACAATACTATGAATAAATTAGCTTTACGTATTTATTTTTGCATGATTGTAAGCTCTACAATTGCCCCTGTTTGGTTGAAGTTAAAGTTCAGATTTTAATTTAAATTAAAGTCAACAGTTAATTTTATCCATACATTTAATGAAACTCACAGATTTTCAACTACATATTTAATTAATTTTTATCAAAATCTATTAAAATTATGTTTGATGCACATTATTGAGTTGATAATACGTTTTAAATAGTGATTTGATAGAAAATATGTAATTAAAAAATAAAGATTTTTTGGGATTTGCGTGTAATATTATTTAATGGAACTCACGGATTTTCAACTACATATTTAATCAATTTTTATC